GATGTAATCCACGTGTGTTCCTTAGATACATAACTCAATGAAAGAAGAAAAGACGATGAGATGTCAACGACTTGGTAGACTTAGAACACAAATTTTATTTAATTTTATTTTTAATTTTTTTGTTTGTTTATTATATTCTATTAAAATGTCGACCAATCATATTATACTTTACTTTTTATCATAATTATTGTATTAACCAACTTATATTTTGTTTGTCACACATGCTGATGAAGACCCGAGGACGGGTTGAAATATTCATGTTTTGAATAAAATTTGTGTTCTAAGTCTACCAAGTCGTTGACATCTCATCGTCTTTTTCATTGAATTTCCATTTTCCGTCTAAAATGAATCAAGATTTTTTTTATCTTTTAGCTTACGTTGCAACGATTATATTTATGAAATCAGTTTTTCCGCAAACCCCGATAAAGTCAATGTATTTTGCACTACAAGCGACCGTTTTTTGTTTTTTTGCAAAAGCCTATAAACACCATTCCATGTTTTTGGCAAAGGCCAATACATCCTTTCAGCCAATCAGCGTACAGCTCTGATCTGAGGCGACTGACACTGCTCTCGCATATACGGCATAGCCAGTACATTGCGGTCTAGTCTTTTCATTCGATAAAGACGTAAATATTGATATTTAGTTGCAATTGAAATTCATAATGTAATAAGTAATAACAGTGTCTGTGACATTCTGATTGGTGACAATGCAATCAACCTTTGTAATTTATAAAATAATTTCTATAATAACTTAAATTAATGGATAATTTCAATGATATTGAGGAGTCTGTGCTCAATTCTCACCATTGGGATGTAAATACAACGGTGCCCAGGCAATTCTGCTCTAGCTGTGGCGAATATACAAATAACAATTTTTGTTTTAGTTGCAATTTAAATTCATAATGTAATAAGTAATAACAGTGTCTGTGACATTCTGATTGTTGACAATACAATCAACCTTTGTAGTTTATGACTTTCCTAATTCTTATTTGGTGACAAATAGTGTTGACTTATATAATTAGTATTTGGTAACAATACTTTTTACCTATTTAATTAATATTGGGTGACAGATATAATATCTAATTTTTATTTGGTTAGGATACTGTTGATATATCTAATTAGTTTTGGTGACAATACCATCTTTGTAATTTTATTTGGTGACAATATCAAATTTTGAATTATAAATATTGATGATAAACAAAAATATAATTTTTGTTATAAGTTTTGTTATTATGGTTAGTGAGCTCTCTATGGAGTATATTTGATATCTTTGATTAATCTTACAAAGGCCGTTTAAACTATTAAAAGGCAAGTACAAACATTGTTGATTGATTAATTGATTGATTGTTGACTTTTTAATACTAATATGCTACCATATCCTAAGTAATTTTTCACAAAATAAAAGGTAAAAAATAAACACCAGAAAAACAAAAGAGAACGTATCCCAAAATGATGAATCCAAAAGAAAGTTTTAACAATGATGATATAATTTTGTTTTCACATTGGATTATATGCTTTTGTAGATTATAATTAATTTGTCTTTATTGATTTAAATTGATTGACAACTAAATTCAATGATGGAACATAAGAGGAAGCATGGATTTGAATAATGTGGTAGTTATGTTAATCTATATGCTTTTTTTTTGTATTTTAACCTATTTATTCTTTCATTCTGACTGGTCAGGAACATATATGTGCCAGAAATATACTACAAAAGTAAGTTATGGTGAAAACTGTTAATGACATTTGACTTATACCATATTTGGTAGCAATTATGATGATATTTGTTTGAATAATTCTGTCTTTGGCGTGGTCTTCCTCTCTGTTGGAGGTACCACCATCTGTAAAGCCACTGATTAAAAACACAATGTTGCAATGAACTTATAGTTTAGGTTTCAAACCAGTTTAGTAATAATTATGATTATATCAATAATTGGCAAAATTTGTTGATACTGTACTAACATCTGAGTTTGCCTCCTGAAAGTGTATTGAAAGATATTATGATGATTACACATTTCCAAAATAGAAAAAAGCATGGTTGGTTATGATGAGGTAATTTCCATATGGTCATGTTCATTTGGCCGTATATCTTCGTTGTTAATTGTCGTATATGGCCATATGTTGGTCACTGTCATGTAGGTTTAGTTGCCATATTATATGATCAATCATTGTAATGCAATATAACCATAGGTTATAGATGATGTGTCATATATGACCTTGCATTTGTTTCATCTCTAGATTTTATTACAAATTGGTATACATATGTCTTAGTTGAACGGTTGGTCACTAAAACATGACTCTCATATTGTGGGCAATATTATGAAGTACAGTGGTGTATCCATTATCCACTTGAAGGTACAACGTGTATTGCAATTTTATCTTACGGTTATTTCTATGAAATGTTGAATCAATGCCACTAATTAGCTACACTTGTTTTAATTTCTTCAGAAATCATGCTGTTATGAAATACATCCACTAACTAATTTGTGCACGTCTACTTCTATGCACCCTTTCCCTGAAATATTCCTTCTACAATTTATTTAATGATGACAAAAAAACTCAGTTTTTTTTATAGCAATGCGAGCCTTCTATAAATAAACTGCTGACTTTATATGGTGTTTAACGAATGAGTACTCTCGCACTTATATCCAGGGTTTCTTAGTTAGCGTTCAATTAGTATGTAATCATTCAGTATACTTCTGTATGTGCAATTTTTGTATGAGTTGGCCGTTGCCATGGTGGTGTTGGACAGCCCTTTATAGGAAACAGTAAACGACAGTGCAGTAGTGATCTTGTTGTCATCGTTTGTATGGCTGCTTCTTTGAGGTGGTACAAAATAAAGCTTATCTGAGCAGTAGAGGAGTAAATTTTTGGATGCATAATGTGGTATGTCTGTGTTTATAGAGAAATAAAATGTTTTGTGCTAAAATTGTTTTGTTGTACTTTCTGTGTTCTATGATTTATAATTTTTGGGAGATTAGTTGTGTCAGATGTTATAAAAGAACATATGACTCTACACATGTATACATTCTAATACCTTTACTAAAAGATGTACTAATCGGTCTTAATCTGTCGAAAAGGATAATCTGCCAAATGTAGGTACTATGATCTTAATGGAATGATAAACGAAAAGCCTAATTTGTCGAATGTAGGCATATGATCTCAATGGAATGATAAACGAAAAGGCTAATCTGCCGAATATAGGCCTATGATCTCAATGGAATGACAAACGAGAAGCCTAATCTGCCGAATGTAGGCATATGATCTTAATGGAATAATAAAGGAAAAAGCCTAATCTGCCGAATGTAGGCCTATGATCTCAATGGAATGATAAACGAAAAGGCTAATAACTGCTTCCTCTCTGCGTTCAGTCTATCTAAACTAAATCAGAAACTCTAGTGTCAAAGGTTCCCCTTACAGTATCAAAGTACTTTTTATTCAAATAAACGACCAATTTTTCACCTATAGGCCTAGTCATTTTCCAGCTAATTTTTAACTTACGGTACCCAGGGATGTTTATTTGCATTTTTATAACTAATTTTAATAAAATAAATAGTAATTATTAGGCCTATTATCATAATAAATAATATTTTTTTTATATACAATTAACTTTTATTAGTTTACATTTTTCAAATTCAAATAGATCATATAATAATCTTTATACTGATCAAATGTTAACTTGGTCCAATATTTAGATTTTATGAGACTAGTGCCAACCTGTCGCTGTGTATCTGTTGTTGATGCTCCAATATCAGGGATAATAATGCCTTCTATTGAATCTCTTGATGGTCAACATTCAGAGTATTGTTCTATGGCTCCTGTGTTCCAAAAGCACTCCGCAGGGTGAAATATGCCACCTAAAAAGTCAAGCCATTAAGATTTTCTGAACAAATATATATAACTCACTTACTGAACTTAACTACAAAATAATTTCCAAATTGTACTATTCGACACGCATAACGCAAATGCCTGGTCAGACAGCTCGTGTCATGTGTAGAGAACCGAAATTGAGAAGCAGATCAAGATATAAGTTTATATAATTTTTTAGATGATCTTAGCTTACATACAGTAGTTCTTTTTATATAAAAACAACTTTAGAGTAAATAAAGAGTAATAATTGGAGTAAGATAACAACAAATCATTTTTGTGGTCAATTTAATGAAGTAGAAAGTGATTTCATTTAGCAATATCTGTGCCCCCAAGTAAGTTAATAAAACGGATTCATTTTGTAAAAAGTAACAATCACCATCAAAGATTTTATTGTTAGTCTAATTAGAACAGGTGGCACTGAATATTCATAATTATGCATGAGCTAGTTGCTTAGCAGCCACGTCATTTCCGGTTTTATATTTTTGTTGAGGGTGTCCTCAAAAGATTTGCTAGTTCAATAATTAAAGTAGCATGATGAAGTAATTCTTCACTTTTCGTGTAAGCTTATAATTAGGATATTTTAGCTATTGAATTTATTACAGTAAACACAGACATTAAATAAGATGAGAAGAGATGCACAATTCCATTTTATATTTATTTTCAAGCATTGAAATCAAGTTGGGATGTATACATTTTATATTTATATACTGTAGGTTTATGTCATGTACATCTGGCAAAAATCAGTAGACCTGGTTGTAATCCTCAAAATGTTTTATCTTATTATCTTACATGTCTATTATATTCTTCACAACAAACGGGTGACTTTATTAATAAGATAAACATTAGCAGTAATAATGCAATATTACTATCTATGAATAATTGGAAAGTTCTGTTGCCCTTTCAGTCCGGATATTCTTTTCTGATAGTTGTGGTTTCTTTGTCTACATCTCTGGAATAGAAAAATATTAAGAAAAGAATAAGAAACAGAGAAAAAGTTATAATGGAGTATCATAATATATAAATAAAAACCTGTCTCTTATACACATCTAGATGTGTATAAGAGACAGCCCATTTTTTTATAATAAATTATAAACAAAAAGAAAATAGGTGGGATGGGACTCATATAATTTTGAAATGTTTAAAACAATGACCAAACTTTGACTAGTGTACAGTTGACTTGGGTGACGCTGACTGGGCAAATACAAATTAAAAAAAGAAGCTTGTACGTCCTCATCCACTCGTAAAAAGGCTCAAACTAACTCAAAAAGCAAAGAAGCAGCTAATCATTTCAAACATTTTGCTTATTAAACTGGTACGTCTTGTTAATGTGAGGTATATTCCTACATAATTTTAATTGTCTTCCTAGGAAAGATTGGTGACAAAGCAACCATTGAAAGTTGATTCCAGGTTTTGGGTTGACACTGATTTATAGTTTTCGTCTTCGTAACTACGCCTGGGTGTATCTCTTAGACTGGCCGTTATGCAGAAGTACCTTCCACTATGTTTATTGTAATAATGTAATAGTCTATAATTTTAAGTAATGTGGTACCGTGCAAATGAAATGCTTCATTAATTATTTGATCATGTAAAATTATATTATGTGAACAACAATTATGTGCTATTTTAATGGTGTAATTATGCGAGGATGTAATGATAGTTATATAATGATGTAACAACATAAGGAAAATTCGATTAGATATATTATGGTAAGGAGATTTAATAATTTAATATTGTAATGATGAAACTGTGTTGTATCATTTTGATAATCACATTATTGTTTATTCTATTCTTTATTTTATTTTTTTTAAGTTTTTGGATACAATTTGGCTTCCAAAAAAAAAAGAAAGAAAACTTGAATAATAAAGAATAAAAATCTTTAACTTTGGCATGGCAGTAGTCTTCATAACCAGTCATAACGTGAACACGGAGTTTCAGGGAAGAACAGTTAATAGGAATCATGGAATGATTTTTTTTATGGTGGCTCCCTTAAAAAAAAAAAACCCTTAGTATGTATGCAATGAAACTAAGAAAAAAAACTTGGCAGTCAACATGTTAACCTTGTTCAACATCATTTTCTAATCATTTAACAATTTTGACTTTCCCAGATTCGGACACATGGGCCAAATTATTGAGTATCATCCGATTAAACATTTGAGCTTAAAACTAGTTTTCAAGGGGAATTTACAGCAATTTTCTTGCAGAGTATTGTTGTGATCTGTAGGTCCCAATAGAATCGTCAAAAGAAAAGTAGTGCAAAAAATCTTGAGCTATCCAATTTTTCACCTGGTAGTTTTCCTGCTGATTCTTACATTAGGGATTGTTAGATCCATAAGTCTGATCAAAACGAGATATATTTTGAGAATAATATGGTATACAGGTAGGCATTAAGTGGTTTGTTCGTGTGCATTAATTACATCATCCAACAGTCTTGTACAAAAGATGAAATAGGAAGAGCCAATCACAGAGCCCCAGGCGTATCCAAGATTCTTGATAAGGTGGTGATATATACAGTAGGAATTTACGAAACTTTTGCGCAAAAATGGAACAGGGATAGCCAATCACACAAAGCATCCAGTGGAGTATGCAGGATCTTGAAGAGCGACGGGTGCTGCGCGTGCCGGCCTGGGAGAGTGTTTTTTTAAATAATATAAAATGGAAAACGGATTTCAAAATAAGTTTATTTATTCAAATATTTTCGGTTCTTAAAGTTAATTTTGACATTAAAAAACATAATTATAATATCACAAATTGGTGACCTTACATTTTACAGTAAGACATTATTCTTATTCATAATTTTGTTGTTAATAAATCACAATCACATGGATTATGGAAAACATGGATTTCGCCATGATTGGAGGATAGTATTGTAATGTAATACGGTGTTTTTTTAATAATATAAAATGGAAAACGGATTTGAAAATAAGTTAGTTGGTTACATTGCATACTCTTTGTTTCTCGTTGTTTTATTGAAATATGTTCGGTTTTGAAAATTAATTTCGACATTAAAACACATACATATATTGTCACAAATTGGTGACCTGGCCCCCAGCCAAATGAGGCTCGCTATGCTCGCCTAGGCCCCCACCCCCTCTTCCGGGACCTTTAGCGTCCCCCACCCCTTTCAGGCAGATCCTAACGCCATCAGTTGGATGTGATAACAGTGCTTTTAGACATCCAGATCTGGATGAGTACGGTACTCCTCAACGCCCCTAAAAGGAGCAAAGCGAGAACGGGACATTGAAAATGGTTCGCAGTATTTAATAATAGGAAATTAAAATAAGACAGTATAATGATTACCGGTACTCATGGGGCCCATGCAGTGGTAGCGCTAGGATATATTTTCGATGGGGGGGGGGGGCGCAGCGCCATCCGAGGGCCGTAATGAATAATGAATAATGAATTCACGAGTTCCAGTGTTGCTTTTGCAATTTGACAGATCCTCGTTCAGTCATTGATTGATTCATGCTAGTGAAAAATTATTATTTTACGAAATTTTAATTGAAATATATACTCAAAATTGGCTTTAACGGTAAGACGGCCAAAGGATGGTGCTACCACGTGCTACAATATATTCCTTCCAGATTTGCGAAGGCGCTAGCCTAGGCAGTACTTCGTAACAAACACCCTGTCCTTAATGAAATTACTATATGACTGTCGAATCCCAACTCAATCACAAGAAACACACAGCAATCTAGTAATTTCATATTGCATGAGAACTTTAATTAAATAATTTATTGATTGATTGACATAGATTCAGAAATACGCCTACATTCATAAAAATCTAGAATATATCAATCTACATCATTAAATAAATTACTACTTTAGCGAATAATCCATAATTCAAAGGTCATCAATCTTCTTTTTGGTCCTTAGCAGCTGAACTAGTCGAACTACAGAAAAACGGCAGGTTCATATCTCGTCTGTCTGTGGCAAAATCTGATAAAAATGAAATATAATTGAATTTGTCATTTAAATCTGTCAAATAATATGTTATCAGCAATAATAATTTCAATAATAATAATGACTAATAATAATAACAACAATAAATTTACTTTAACTCCAATTTGATGTTTTATAATCTTGTTCAGTTCTTTGTTAAGTGTGTGATTTTGTGAAAATGTTCTGCAAATCTTTATATTAGCTTGTGATTTTTTCATATTTTGCTATTTGTATATTTTAACTCAATTCAACTTTGTGCTGTCATGATAATATTTTGACTAAAGATACCTTCATATATAATTTCAAATTCAAATTATTAATTCAATTTATGATGTTTTTTACTCTGAAAAACATTTTATTATATTATTTACGCATCTATCAATTTGTGAGGTAAATATTTTCTCAAATTTGAATTGAAAGCTAGTACTAGTACAAGGTAATAACATAGTATTTAATACTGTACCTGTAGAACCTCCTCCTTTGGGACATATTAAGGGATACTTTGTTTGAAACGAAATGAGGGAAACCCCTATTCATGGGACACCAACTTGTTTTTATCCCAAAGGATTAATAGGTGTTCTACCGTATTTTACACACTAAACTAATACATAAATATATATATATATATCATCTCACCTTTTGAACATCGTTATTCATTGCCACACCCCTCGGTACATTCACACTTAGAGATACGAGCGATGATCGCATGCGTGGTTGATCCATCAGGGCATGTTAACGTGATGCGGTCGTAAGCATTGGTCTCGCCTTCCCCGCCATACGTGCCACGACAACACTTGCAGTTGTACTGAATGTAGGGTTCATGAAGTAAGATGGTTGTGCTGGACTTACAGCGCCCATCACACATTGTCACTGGAACATCGGGGGCAACACACCCTTGTTCGTTAGTGACGTTTATAACTTGTTCAATCATTTTACAAGTACCTGGTTCTAAGATACAAAAAGAAAATGTTAGGATTTAGCAGATAGATTTATTAATTTCATTTCACATAAAATCATATACTAGTATGTACAGGATGCCATACTACAGTGTAGCTTACAGAGTGTCATATGGTATTTTTTAGCAATATATATTTATATGTACACTCCTATATCAACAATAATCGCTTTATTCAAATAAATCGGCATTGGTGGTTTCACTAAAATCAGCCAATTAACAATCCAGCCACTATAATAGAAATCAGTATTCACACGTGTAACATGCATACTATCACTAAGGAAGAGCACAAAAGTGCTCAAAATGTTCTATCAAATAAATGTTATGTATATAGTGTCAAATTATACATTTCTACTTTATGCAATCAGGCTTTTTACTGTATATTATTAATAATTATTAAAACAATAATAGCAATTACGAATAATAATTATTGTCAGTGGCGTATCTAGGGAAAGGCGTGGGGCGCACGCCCCCCCCTAAAATCACAGTCAAGTAGTTAAAAATCACCATATTTTACGAATTAGCGCCCCTCAACTGATCATTGAGCCCCCTACTTCACCTTCGCGTCCTCCTCATCCCCCCACCATTCAAGACCTCTAGATACACCACTGATTATTGTAAACAGTAATTAGTATAATATTGTCTTACCATGGACCTCGCGACATACAGGACAGCACTGGCCTGGCTCTTCAACTAATGTGAAACCCTGTGGATATTGTGAAAATAAATTTTAATAAACCTTAAAATAATTTATTTATTTAATAAATACATACAGTGTGGGTCAAAAATATAAACACAATATAATTTCAAATCGTTTATTTTTATTGTTGAAAAACTAGAAAGAATTAATGATATTCTAAATTCATGGCATAAAATTCATAGATTTTTATGACGTAATTGAAACGTCAGCTATCGTGTTTGTGCATCCATGCACAGTAATATGTAGGTAGAAGTTTATATACAATAGAGGGCATGTTTTAGGAGATGTGTGTTTTTTAGAAAGTGCACGTAGAAGCTGTATTCTTATTGATTGATTGATTGAACTTTAAATTACCCTTTCACAAACTGGTGGTTCTGGGCAGTTAGAAGTACATTCTTCACGTCCATTGACACATAAACACGTCTCACATTTGTCCTCAGAAGGTGTCAATGAGCCAGCTTCATAGACATTCCCAGCCTCATCCAAGCATTCGCACTGTGTCGGTAAGACGCAGACACCATCCTGATTTCGGTAATAACCTGGGGAGCACATGCATGCCTGGAACGGCTCCTCGATCATCACTTCAATTACGTCATGCATTGTGGCGCATGTTGGCACACATGTGGTTGCCTGGTTGGTCCATACTTCATTTTCACCACACACTTGATATAAATGAATAATTATATTAATGAGAAAATAATAAGCCTTATATTATTTAATAATAAATTCATACTTTAAAGCGACAACAGCGCAACAATACAAATAATTAATAATGGTACCACGGGCACACTATAAAATTATGACCGTTCTAAACTATGCTACCCTCCCAATTTGCTGAATTTGGGAGCGGTTGGCACAGTAACTACGAGGGTTGGAACCTTCACTGTTCTTGGACAAGGCACTTTACCTAATGTTTGTCTTTCTCCACCCGGGAGTATAAATGGATAGTTGATAGTAACTCAGGCCACTCTACCAGACAATGCTGAGGCTTAGTGCGATGGAATAACAGCTTATTCCCTATGTTCAAGAATGAATATGGGATGTCCTTTACCTTACAGTTTAATAGGAATGTGTTGAATCCAATATATAAATGGTTGGTAACTAATCCAAATGGGCAATACTTACGACACGGAGCATCATCACATTCTTCAGTCTCAACGAGTTCACCTTCACATTCCAAGCCTCCGTACTGGGCTGATGGATTGTTGGCAGTTCGTGTATGGGTCCTGATGCCTTTACCACATGTTCGTGAACATTCACTCCATTCGGACCATTCACTTAGGCCACAATCAACTGAAATACAAATTAATAAGAGGTACAAATCATTTAATGTTTAAAATCCTTTATCATCACACCACAATCAAGACTACTTCAATTATAAGAATTTTTTATTTATTACTATTATTTCTTGTGGGTATAACTATACATGAATACTGCAAAAAGTTCCATGGATATCTAAGATTTTAGTCCTATATCTAAAACTAAATAGGCCGCTTCTTACCTCTACAGTCAGCTTCAGTACATTTAAAGGAACCGCCATCACAAGTACTAAAGGGGAAAACAAAAACAAAAATAGACTTAAAAAGGGCAAATATCTACTAAAGTTTTATACTTTTTTTGTAATTTCTGTCCATACTTGATCCATTTTTTTTTTGTCTTTTCTACGCATGGGTGTATGTTGGGGTGAGTGTTGTTGCAAAGAGTACAACATTAAGTATAAAGTTTGGTTGTAGTGTTAGCTTTTGAATATTCATGTGTTTTTTAGGCTAGGCCAATTACACTGTCAGAAAAAAGTCAACCTTGTGATTTGATATATACGTGGTCAAAATGTTTTTAAAAAATGATTGGAATAAAATGCTTAGAAAATAAACAAAGCATGACATCACAATTATAATTGCATCTAATTAACAGATGAAGAAAAGTATTAAAATAGTATTTGCAAAACGTTTTACTATTAATTTATCATCTTACCAAGTGTTACATTGCTTTTGTAAAACCACTCCTGGTGGGAATTCAAGAAGATCGTTTGGAAGTTCAACTGGTGTGACATCATCTGGAATATCTGGCAGATTTTCACCAAATACAGAGATGTCGACTATGCAGCGACAACTGTCAGGAGTGACACAGATTCCATCTTGAAGAACCTATCGGAATTATACAGACACATAAAATATACAACCGTCAGAATTTAAATAAAAATCGTGGCATTTAATATCTTTACGTCATTTTTTGGAATGATTATTGCACATCAAGCATTTTTTCATATATCAAAATGTATGTGATGCTGGGTTAGTTTTTCAGATTGTGTTAAATGTTACTATATTTGTATGTATGTGATGCTGGGTTAGTTTTTCAGATTGTGTTAAATGTTACTATATTTTATAGGTACTTTCATTGTTTCTCAGAAATGTAAAGTAAGTTTTTTCAAAGCATTTTTCTTAAATTTAGTCTGGATCGGATTAAGTTTAGTCTGGTTTCCAAAATTCGACTTTAGAAAAAACAAACCATAATAAATATAATTTGAGACTAGAAATAAGAACATGAAAAAAAAACAAAAAAAACTGCTACTGACCATATCACCTGGACAGTGACAACCAGGTAAACATTCATCCAAACTGCAGCTTGAATCATCATGGAGATCGGAACAGGTGCTTGGGCAGCGGTTGGCACAGTCGTCTTTTACCATACCAGCAGGACATTCGTCTGTGGAGTATGAAAGTAAATATTATTTATTATTATTAGTTTCATCATCACCACTACCATAATAATTACCCTTAACATTAGTACCACAATATTACCATCACCGTCATCACCACCACCATAAAATCTTTACCTACACCTTCACCATCACCAACCGACCACCATTATCATCTATCCTCATCCACTATCACTAACAGCACCACCAATATAACATCAACATCATGCACGATCAATCAAATTAACAAATCTAAATAGAACAGAAATTACCTGAACATGGGTCAACATTGCAGTTTTGGCGTTGAGTGGTGACATCAGAACACTCATCTCCACCATTGGCACTCGGTATGTTAATGATTCGGATACGTGATGATATACCACCATCACACAAAGCGCTACAATTGCTCCAGTCACCCCATTCAGAGTATACACAATCCTCTATAATTAAAAATATCAACAAATACAAAATAACTCGATGACTTACTATAGAACATTTCTAGTCTCTCGGATTCAGTAAGTTGAAAAACGGAGGCCTGTTATGACTGATTATATAAAGAATCCACACCATTAATAGACACTGTTAAGAGGAATTTGTTACAAAATACTATTAAATAATAAATTGAAGATAAATTAACCATCAGAATAACTTCTGATAGTATAACTATTTTAATTTATTCCATGTGAATTTTGTATTCTTTACATATTTGTTACATATTTTTTATCGTATCGAAGACAAAAAAAATAAACAAACAAATAGTTGTGGTACTTTCTAACAAAACAGCGTCATAAAAAAAAAAAAAAATTAAAATCCCATTTTCTGCCTAATCTAAATTGCACTTGAAATGAATCATATGTTTTCACTTGGTTGCCATGGCACTTATCAATCTTTATTTATTTTACTTATTTATTTCTTTTTCAAGCCCAAAGGCGAAAATAGCAAAAAAAAAAAAAAAACATACGTGGACAAGGGTTTTCATTGCAAGGCTTTTCTTCTGTTGTAGGTCCTTCACAATCGTAATCATCGCCGGCTTCGTTGAAACACGTTCGGGTACGTTCATGTACTCCTCCATTGCATTCTAATGTGCAGGCGGTCCATTCACTCCACTGCCCAAAGTATGGACATGGTATGCCAGTGCATTCAAAGTGGCCCCCTAAGCATGTGCTTTAAAACAAAATCGAAATTGCATAAATAATGAATTAAATTCAATGTGTTTAGTGGTGATTGGCGTTAAGCTCTGTCCTCACAACAATGTGACAATTACAGTATGTGATTTCGTACCGTATGACATGATATCAGCATGCCAATGTGGATGTGCTATGACATCATCATGTTCATCATGAATAGTGTTGATAGAGCTTTAGACATGTTGGTAAAAAGTGCAGTTTCTGTTTACTACTGTTCTTTGGGCACTTTGTCTCTGACATTATTTGATTATGTATATACGTATCCTTAAGTCAACAACTTTTTAGTCTATCCATCCCAAAACAGGGCATCCATGTCTTATATGTGAATCAACGATCATATTCAGTCCGTCTATGTATTTCAAGAATGTCTTAGCCATGGATGACGAGGATGAAGATGGCGTATTTATGTTTGTTATCGTTTTTGTAAGGTTGCAAAATCTCCCTATTGTTATCTTTGAATGATTCTAATGATAGGTAATGGACGGTAGGTAAAGATAGGTGAATAGCCCATAACTCGCAACGTCATTGTGCTGAATTTTGTATGGGTCTGTGACTACGTAGGCGCCGTAAAGAGCACTTATAGTAGCTTCATGGTCACATAATTCATCTACGACAGAAACTAAATTGAACCATTGCATCGGGTTAACACCAACTCTTCCGCAAGATGCAATGGGTTCTTTAACATGCACACAAGCCAAATGTGCATACTGGAGCTCCATTATAAGTTCTTATCCGAAAAGACTTAGTTCTGCCTACCGAATCCTGAAAGAGTAGCAGCTCAAACCAGGGTATATGCCCCGGCCTTACCGCTCGCCCACTCAACTAACCCCATCCCACCAAATGATGATAATAAGTATTGTACAATTGTTCAAAAAATGCGTTTAGTAGCACGGTATTCGTGACGTATTGATGACTTACCACTCATTACACTCGAAAGATACAGTATCATTTGGCATGAATGCTCCGTTTGGTCCACTACCAATAGGGAAACCCAACCCAAGACTAGAAGACGGTGCTTTTGTCGAAGTCTGCTGCTTCGTATACTCATCTGGCAAATCACATCGACAATCCATAATAGGAACGCACTGGTCATCTTGAAGTAACTGACCCTCTGGGCATCGGCATCCAGGTTTGCAGGCTTCTTCGATGCAAGTAACAAAGTTATGCCGATCCGAACATTCTCGCTCACATGCATTGGCACATTCACTATATACTCGACCAATGTCTTCACACTTCTCTCCTGTAATTAAAAAAATAATATTATAGTGAACTGTAGGTTACAACATCACTTGCTAACTTTTTTACAAACATGATTATGTGATCATATATTATTTTCTTGTTTAGGTAACGTCTAGTAAAGATGACATACAAACTTCTACGACCATTATGTCTAACAAAATGGTTTGAACTTTTAGGTACAAATTATAAAGTTTTACCTGGGCAAGCTTCGACGTTGCATGCCTGTGTCTGTGAGAGGTCTTCAGTGCAGTACCTGCCACCATTCGATGCTGGAGGATTTCCGCTAGTACGTGACCGTGTATGAGTTCCACCACTACATGGAGCACTACAGGCTCCCCAATCAGACCACAGGGTGTATCCACAATCAACTAAGTGTATAAGAATAATGATAATAATATATTAATGGTAGATATATAATGTGCATATTACTATCTACGAGCTTTAGATTGTTACCCAGCCAATTGATCAAACGCCATATGGAATGAAGGATACTATGGACCTTTCCAAAGTGTCAATTAACTTAACATTTGACCAATCAGAACAAGCACATGCGTTGTCCCAAAGCTTGTGTACCAGTATGTTTTAACATTGTAGTTTTGTGGGATCTTATCAACGATACGGGCGGGGTTTAGTGAAAAGGTTCATTATTATTACTGCAGTAATCAGAACATTGATGTTTGAACCGACCAGGTATCCACTTAAATCATCAATATAATGAAAATTTAATTAAGCCATTACCAAAACATTACACAAGAACTTACTTGGACAGGGTGGCAGGTCATCACATTCTTCATGTTCCACATCTTCCATAACTCCTCCACAGCCACTGCCACCATCTTCAAAAGATGGACTAGGCAGAGGGTTGTTACAAGAACGGTAGCGAGCACGTGTAGCGTCTTCACCACACAGTCCCAAACAAGATGACCATGATCCCCATTCGCTCCATTGGCCAATGACTAATAAGAAAGGATTATAGATTTCTTAATGTATAGAAGGAGAGAGATGGTACATGACGACAGACTCATAAATATTCAGAAACGTTTATTGAAAGTCCTGGTGGGTTCAAGATTTCCATCAATCATTCCTATTGTCTTGGTGTCAAATACTTTTTAAGACTCATATAAGGCATTTTTAGATTCTATCATGTGACTGATGAGTCATCCATAGCATGTGAACAATATTTGAAAATGGTCATTAAATCTAATAATATTCTTTCAGAATGCCAAAGCATCTAATCAACTTAGTACAGCGTGGGACACCTTTTCCATGTAAGTGACTTTTGAAAATCTTTGGTTTAGGCGTTTTCGTAACTTTCAATTAATTCCAATTGTAAATTCTTCAATAACTATAACTAAAATATATATTCTATGTTGTATAAAAATAATAATACAGTAATGATAATATTAATTAAAAAAGACAAAGGCAATTTCATATCTTACCATCACAGGTATCCTCGGAACACATCAATAGACCATCAGAACATGTACTGTAGGAAAACAAATAATTGACAGTAAGCAAAGGCACTAACAATCACTTTTACATATTCCACACTACGTATAGTGTACATTCAACTTTTAATTCTGATTAATTGCATAATATCCTTAACCACTCTACACTGGTATTCTGTTCAAACTGTGTTCTGTTCGTAAGCTCTTTCCTCTTTCCTCATTATCAATATTTTGAGACAAATACATGCAATTTGCCCATATATGGGAGTGGTACAACTTTATCAGGCCCATTATGGGCAAATCGCAGATAACTGTCATATAGAACTCGATAGTGTAGGCATACTGTAGCATTGGAGAAATATACACACAAAGAATAGTGCTAAATGTTACTCCAATTATGGTCGCACCTTCGCGCACCATGCTGAAATTTGTTTGAGTATGTCACATCATGGACGGTTATAGTTTAATGGACACTATCCTTCAACATATTATTGGTTCTTCATATTGAAATGCTATCAGGCAAATACACTACTAAACTCCTAAACTTCAGAATTTAACTGCTATTACTTTATAAAATGCTTTCCTTTTACAGTACCCTATAATCAATTAAATATTATAATAAACTATATTTGAAAATTCAAAATAAAAAAATGGCAAATACCATGTATTGCAGTCGTTTGTGATCTCAACTCCTGGAGATAGCTCGATGGTCTCATCTGTGTTTGGATCGTGATATATACAAGGACATTCTTGCACACAGTCACCGTTACTTTCAAACAAACCCTAAGGACAAGAATACAGTCATATACAATTTGGATTATGAAATCCATTACATTGACTTATGCATTATCTTTCTAAACATGTACAACCAAAGGTAAGTATATTGATCTTGATGACTTTTAACCTAACTGGGAATTTTTTTTTTTTTTTTGTAACATATAAGACTTTATCTATGGGAAATATGCAAAATAATATGTTGTGATTTTTTTTTTTGGCAAAACCAATGTGTCTCACATCAATTTTTATAACAATCTTTATCTGCCGTTTATCCCATTGTTAAATAAGGACGTCTTAAACTTAAGTATAAAGTAACCAAATTAAAGTGAAATAATATATTAAAAATACTATTATGTACTTATAGAAGTGTACGTATATGAAGGGGTGATGGCTGCTTTAGAGTAACATTTCACTGTTCACTGATAACACTTACATCAGGGCATTGGCATCCCACTCGGCATACATCAGTATCACTACATACAATGGTTGAGTTTTGTCTGGCCAAGCAAGACCTTTCGCATGGTGATGCACATGAAACAGTCTCAAATGGGCTGTCACAACCTTTAAAAAACAATAGGAGGTTACATAACAAATGTTTTCTCTATCTATCAACTGAGGCAGAGAGATAAGTCACAGAGCCCAGTTCTATCAAACTGTCCATATTAATCCAAAATAAATGACATTCTCTGTTTCGTTCAATAATTACTATTAAACTTACTATCACATGCAAACAGATTACACTGCTGCATATCTCGTGTTTCACCGACGCATTCGCTGCCGCCGTTGAAAGGACCAATGTGTGACCGTTCGCGTACTTGTGTGGAACTACCACATGTTCTTGGACACTCTGACCAATTGCTCCATTCGGAAAACACACAATCAACTATAAAATAAATGTATTTATTGTGTTAAACATGTTATACATTAAATTATATTATTTATAGTAGGCACCAAACCTTGAACACTGTTAATTTTTAAATAGGGGCCCAAAATCTAATCATCACTTGCTCATGAATTTATCCATTGTATTATCTATGGATTTGAAGCAATGCATTTTCCAAAAATTCTGATACTTTACCTGGACAAGCCAAGTTGTTGCAGCTAATAGATTCAGTACTGGCGTCAGCTCCTCCAGGACACTCCTGACCTCCGAACTGTGGTACCTCACATTCACATTCACGTGATCGGGTCTTGCTACCACCATCACAATCTTCACTGCATTCAGTCCAATCACTCCACTCACACCAATTACCATGTACTTTGTAAAGAGGTAAATGTCATGGTTGTGAAAACAATTTTTATAAACAAATGCAGTAGCAAATTCATGGGGGCCTAATATTTTCAAAATTATATAAAAATGTGGAGAACAAAAAGATAATTCTAATTTAATTTTGAGAGTGCCAATTCTGGCCATCTAGAAGTGCCATAATCATAAATTTTCTTATCTCAGCCCCGGTTGGTAAGATTGAGATGGTCTACACCCTCAATTTGTAAAAGTACCCCCCCCCCAACCTCTGTTGCGAAATTGTGGATTTGCCACTAAAATATGACAATTATCAACTATCATTATTACCATTACCATATTGCAGAATCAGCATTACCAAGATTATCACACCTACCATTTAATTTCATTTTTAATTTATTTATTACGACTCAAAAAAGTTAAGTCCTGGAACTTCTAAAGAAGTGGTTATGACTTAAAAAGCCAAGCGTATCAAACATTAACACTACAAAGAACAAAGACAACATAAATAAAAAATCACAAAAAGATACAATCCAATAAAGATTGAAATATTACAATTGACCATAAAGATATGTTTTGAATCAATTTTTAACAGTCTGAGTGCAAATAATGACAATATCTTTCCTACCATCACTACTATAATCCTCATCATCACCTACTATCATTAACCTTAGCATGATCATTAATGTCATCACCATCATTGTGTGCATCAACTTATTCACCTCTCATCATTTTCGGTTAAATAAATGAAATGAAATACTGCTCTGTACTTACCAGGACATGGTTCGGTGTTGCAATCTTCCAGTTCTGTCTCCATATCTGAGCTGCAAGGCATTCCACCATTGCTTGGGTATGGCATGGAACAAGAGCGGCTACGTAGACGTTTTCCACCATCGCAGGTGGCATTGCAGCAGGACCATGGTGACCACGGCGACCACGCCCCATCACAGGTGTTGTTGGTACAAACTAGCTCAGTAGACTTACAGATACTAAGACATTTAAAGATTTATATTAAACAATGTAATACCAACATAAAAGAATATTACTGTCTCTATTATTCCTCTACTTTCGTCTTATACAGTATGTCTTTGATATAGAGTAGAATACAATGCATTTATTATCAGTGATTAATTATTAGTACAGTAATTCCAATTTTGATGAAAAATGTCCATAAATTATCTCAAACTCTGTTCACGCTATATATATGCCAATATGTAGTCATGATGTGCCTATATATTGTCATGATATATGGCATCACCCCCATATTTAGGGATGTGACATGTCCTTGCCAAATAAATTAGGCTGGACAGAGCTTAAGATAGATTAGGCTTGTAGATCTTACCATTCATTGCAGAGATCTTCGGTAACCTTCTCACCGTCTTCATAGATTCTTCCATTATATTCACAATGGGTTGGGCACTCAACACCGGAGTCGCATTTCTTACTTTCAGCTTCTTCACCTTCACATTCAGCTCCACCATTTGCAGGTGGAGGATTATTTGGAGACCTTTGAAATTTATTAAATTAATTAATGATTAATAAATTACAATTATGAAAGACACACATCAGCAGCAATTGTGTAAGTAGGTGACGTAATAGACCAGTAGGCCACGCCCCCTTGGATATTGTTGCCAAGGTCCCACAAACCCACAGCGTAAAAACATACGGAAACATGTGCATTTGTGGGACAACACATGTTTGTGAGACACACACGTCTTCCTGGCTCTTTTCTGATTGGTCAGTTGTTAAGTTTGCCTGACACTTCAGAAAGGTCCATTACCAGGACAAACTGTAAACAGTTTATTTAAGCCATTTTCAGACAGAGCTGCAATACCGCAATATTGCGGTAAGCACGCCGGCATGGGTTTCTGTCTGAAAGGGTCCATACGCCAATATGCCGGCTTACTTTAGGCCACCTTGCAAACTAGTAACATTGCCGCAATATTGCGATAACAGTTACTGGCTTGCTCTGTCTGAAAGGGTCTACTCAATATTGCAGCAATCAAGCTGGAGTGTGCATTTGTGCATAAGCAAACAAGGTTAAAGTTGAACCGCCAATACTATAGGATCCTATCAGACAGAAAAGTGTAAGATTACCGCAATATTGCAGTAACAAAGGCGCTGTGTGAAGGGTATATGCCGGTTATTATGTCAGCATGCTTACCGCAATATTGCGGCAACGTCTATCTGAAAAGGGCTTTAGAAAAATAAATACATTATTATTTGAAGATTATCTTATTTGTTTATTTAGAGGGTAAATGTTACTATTGTAGTTACATTTTACAATTTTACAAAAGCTAATAAAACTCTGGTAATATTCATTGACAACTTTTTTTTAAAAACCTTTTCAGGGTGGGTTGTCATCCTCAATAGATTGGTAGCATCCAATTTATTAGACATGTACTAATACTGCAATAATATTCTTTATTAGTTTTTTCCAACTCTTCAAAAACTTTCCTATACAAAAGCAAACAATGGCATTTTGTATAGAATTCAAAATTATTGTTTAATTTGGTAGTTGTCATTTGAGCTTTTTAGCTGTTTGCAGTAGCTTGTATTTGGATATGTTTGGCAAATTTTGGCAAAACAAATAAAAGTATGTGTTTATAAAATATATATGTAGTTAAAATAAATAATATTGATATTTGGTAGAGCCTGTTTCCTTAAAATCGCTACACTGTCGCTACACTGTCGCTACAGTGATTTCAGTGCAATCGATGTACTGCTTAGCAGTCCCTGATGCTATCGGGAGGACTCCACAATTCGACCCACCAATCAGCATCACTGAAAGCTGTTGGTGATAGCGTGTAGTGATTGTATGGAAACAAAGCTTAACACACCTGAATCGAGTCGTTTGTCCAATGCCACAGTCAGCTGTGCAGTCAGTCCACTCCGACCAAGTACTCCAGCCACAATCAACAGCACAATCCAACTCATCACACATTAGATAACCATCGGTACATGTGCTATGTAAAAACAAATCAGCACCAATACAGATGAGAAAGAACAACAACAACGTTAACAACAAGCTCTGAATGCTTCTATGTATAATTCCTGCTCCAAAATCAATTTTCTCTATGGTAATTTGAACGCAAGACATCATTGCCTGATGTGTTATTTTGATAAAAGAAAGATTTATGTTTCCAAGCCACAGTGGCTATGTTCTCACACGGCTGCTGTGCGTCCATATGAGAAAATCCCAATACAGATACCAAAAATATGATGATCGAATCACTGGCCAATAAGAAACTGGAAATTGTAAATGCGTACATGTGATTGGCTGATGATAAAAACGCGCTCAACTTGCTAACCGATAGCACTTGCTAAACGTTAGCGGTATCCGGATACTGCTAACGGTTAAAGCTAACCGATCAGGCGTTCTCATGCAGGTGCTAATGGTTAGCGCTAACGGTTAGCTCCCGATCCAGATACCAGGGCTCTCGTGAGAACCAGGCTAACAACGTTTTGAAATGAGGATCGGTTGATCAGCAACGTCTTCTTAAGCTCTGTCCACACTCTCAAATTTTCTTTGACAAAAAACTGTTGTATGCCCATATATAGTCATGATGTGCCCATATATAGTCATGATGTGCCTATATATGGTCATGATGTGCCTATATATAGTCATGATGTGCCTATATATGGTCATAATGTGATGTTATCATGACCATATTTAGGTATGTCGCATGTTTTTGTCAAATAAAAGAAGATAGCCTAGACAGGTTTTTACAATAACCTTAATTCCTGGGTTGATTGCCAACAATGATCCAAAACTCATACATTTTGGTTTGTAATATGTTAACTACGGGACAAAATTCCACGGTTAAGCTATCAAAATAATTGAAGTTTGTGAAGGCGGCAAATATTGATGATGATTATGATTAAACAATAATGATAATAATGACAGATGGATAATGATGACAAAAACTGTTATTTATATAATGGCTACAAATAGAGGGGCGATGATAATGATAATTACGAGAATATAAAATTATTATTAAATAGGATAATACAGTTAGTAATGATGATGATGATAATGATGTTGTTTCACTAGGTAAAAATTAAAAAAAATAATAAGGTAGGAGGGAGTATTGGATGACCTTTTTAAACTCAAAGGTTTCTTTTCAAAAAGGATTCCAGAAAGAAATTAAATAAATAAATATTATGAAATAAAAAATATATTTAATAAATAAATAAATAAGTAAATAAAACCGGCAAAAATATAGATACAAAAGAATAAGGATGTTGATGATTATAATGATGATGATGATTTAGTCCTGGTAGAAATTTGGGCTAGATATTTTGCAGTGATGGTAATGCAGATGATAACAATAATAATGTTGAGAATGGAACGGTACTAACCAGTTCACGCATTCATCACTGTAAATGAAGCCTGCTGGATAACTTAGGCCATTTTCATCCAAGCAGTCACACCGAGATTGCTCAACACAATGTCCATCTTGCTCCAAAAATCCATCGGGGCAACGACACCCTGGCTCGCATACTTGCTCAGCGCAGCGACTGCCGACTTGCAGATCAGAACAGAAGTAAGGGCAGCTTGTACAATTGCTGTCATAAACTTTACCGTTCTCACATTTTTCTTCTGGAAAAATAATAATAATATGGTCATGAAATAATAATAATAATAATTATTGTGTTGACCTGCTTGTTTCTGTTATTTTTAAAAATATTCCTATAAACTTAGGCCTACTTCAAGGTTCATGTGTATATATTATATTAATGCTTGTGGTACACTACGTAAATAGTTCTGAAAAGAAATTTTGTTGTTGGTTGAGAATATTTCGACATTTCGATTGAGTTGCTTCAATCGTCTTCAGGAGAATATCTGCAGAAATCCAAAAAAAGTGATATACTTATATGTTTTGGTTTTTGAGACTTGCTGGTGATTGGTTGGAAACTAAACAATAGCTGAGACTATGTGTGAAAAGGCTTACAAAAGCCAAAACCCTGTGCAAAAATGTGGGGCATAGCTAGAAAGCCAATACAGTGGCATTGTTCTAGCTAGGTGAAAGGAAAGTCTAGGTTTATGTGCATATTATAAAACACAACAAAAAAGGAATGATCACCAGCACTAATAAAACTCATAGAGGTCCTATGGGATACATATACAAACAAAAATTGAAAAATATTAAAATATATTATTATGATATTGGAATCACCAGAAAACAAAACAAACTTAGATGGAACCTTCAAGCACAACAAATATTCTTACCACACGGAGTTGAATTGCATACTATCTGCTCAATTGGATCTCCATCACAATAACGTCCATTGTTTTTGGGTGGTGGGTTGGTACAGTTGCGATAGCGGAATGATGAACCGCCATTACAGGTGGCAGAGCAGTCGGACCATCTACCCCATGGCGTCCAGTTTCCATCAGCTAAAGATAAGAAGGAGAATTATCAAAGGTAATAACTCATGTCACTGTAGGGCCTGTAGTGAGACCTGAATGACCACCCACCTATATTATTCCCTGCAAATATTGGGTCTGGTAACTAGGTAATGAGGTTGATGGCTTGGTAGTGGTTGGCACAGCAGTTCGAGTTTCAGTCTCTCACCCATTAGGCCGGAGGTTCGAACCTTCGCTGGGGAGTGGAGTAGGTTGCATTTTGTGCCGGTTTGCCAAAATATGGATCCCATGACCAGGAATAGTAAAAATTATAAGGCGTAGTATAAATCCCTACATTATTATTATTAATGGCCATTTTAATACAGAGTGCTGCAGAATGACCTTAATATTTAGGTTCAGGTATGCAATGAGAAATTGGCATACAATACAGTAGTTCATCCTAGACGTATTGAACAAATGGACTGTAACTTACTTGGGCAAGCTTTGTCATTACAAAATTCTGTCTCATAGTTATCGTCTGTAACTTGGCAGTCTGCCTGGTTGAGGAAGCTACGTGACCTAGTACGGTTTCCGGTACCACATGCGACGCTGCAATTACTCCACAAGCCCCACTCTGCGAACTGGCAAGGTGTGGTGGGTACAGTAGCTACAATATATAAATGAGTAAAGGAATCACATATTTACAGTTATCGAAATACAACTTCTATTTGACTCAATTATATAACATAATATGTAGATTCATCACCGAGCAGAGACTAAATACAAAAACAAGTATTGCATAAGTTTGTTTGAAGATTATTTTATAACATAATACCTGTTGGCTTGTGTGTTGTCACAGAAATTGTTGTTGTTTTTAAATTAGTTGTGATAACTGTGGTAGTTTGTGGTTCTGCAGAGGTTATCTCATGAGTGGTGGTTAGTAGACCAGTTGTTGCTGGTAGACCAGTGGTTGTTGGTTGGCCAGTGATCGTTGGTAAACCGGCTGTGGTTGATAGACCAATGGTGGTTGGTTGACCAGTGATCGTTGGTAAACCGGCTGTGGTTGGTAGACCAGTGATTGTTGGTAGACCAGTGGTTGCTTGATGACCTGTGGTCAGTTGTTGACCAGTGATGATTGCTTGGCCACTGGTCAGTTGTTGACCAGTGGTGATTGCTTCGCCAGTGATAATTTGTTGACCAGTAGTTTGAACATTGATAGATGTTGATTGGCCTTCGGTGAATGTTTGAAAGGTAGTCTTTTCTTGACTAGTGGTTGGTTGAACACTAGTGGTTTGACCAGTAGTAACTGGTTCACCAGCTGCTGTTTGTTGTTCAGTGATTATTTGTTGACCAGTCGTTGGTTGTTGACCAACGGTTGTTTTTTGGCCAATAGTGGTATGTAAGGTATTGGATGTTGTTGAGACCGATGTTGCTAAACCTGTGGTTTGTAAAATTGTTGATCCAGGGCCCCCGGTAGTTGTTGGTAATAATATAGTTGTTGTTGGTACATAAACACTAGTTCTTTGCTGACTTGTGTAAGGTAATGTAGTAACATTTGGGTGAATGATGACAGTTGTAGGAACTGTTGTATATCTTCTCATACTGGTTGTTGATTCAAAAGCAGTTGTCCCTTCAGCGGTTGTCCCCTCAGCATTAACATTTTTTCGAGTAGTTGTAGAACCTTTAAAAATAAAACATATATATTTCTGTAAAATGTCTCCAAATGCAATTTATTCACTTTTTATTTTCTTTGAGTCAAATTATTTTTTGTACTTGATCGATTAAATTGTAGTGGATTAAATGCACGCAAATAGAAATTTACACATTTTACATGTAATTGGTCTAAAAAAGCTATCTAAGACAGTGCAAATGATATTAATACATATGGTTGGGCTTGTTGCAAACGATTATACGCAGTAAAGTTGCAGCAGACGCACATCTATTTCAGTATAATGTTGCAGGTGGTGCAATTCTATTTCAAGAAAACTATGTGGCTATGTGTGCACTTCATGGAAACGCCAAGGGCGTAACTATGGACGTGACATATTTTCAAAAAGGCTGTGCTCTCTTCCCTTTACATATTTATTTTAAAAATAATTGGCACAACAGTCACAAATCAAAAAATGGAAAAAGGGTGCCAAGAGGAGACAATGGACTGGCAGCCTAGCTCAAGATGTATGTATATTCTAAGTCTCTTTCCATACTCTATGAATTTAACAACCTACCACACATATCTTCATCAGAGCAGTCTTGACAATCGCATGACTGGTCACATACAACACGTCCAGGAACGCATTGGTTATTGGTGCTACATGTAAATTCACCACTAAAACATTTTGCAGATGTTGTCATCTTGAACACTGTGATAAATGAAATTAAAGAGCTCATTTATGTTTACTAATTTTTAACATATATTTTTATGTTGTTGAACCAGGTTTCATAGGATTCTATGAATATTTCTTACTATTATTATTAACATTTCTTGGTATGTTGTATATATTATTATTACATATATGAATATATTGTTTATGAATTAGATTTCTCTTTATGCTGTATATATTCCATATTCTTTATATATATATTAAATCATTAAAATGCATTTAGTTTTAGTCAATTTCAAACAATCAATTTCATTAAGATTCTAACATAGATCTCCATAGGAAACATTGAAATCCACCAATAAACTGTAATTTGTGTGTTGTCATGTTTACCCATGTGAATTAATTACATCATGTGTAGCAGTTCTTGCTGAAGTACTGAATACATGGGGAGACTTTTAACCTGATAAAAAACGAGAACGTACGTGTGGTTACTACTGGTGGTTGGGATGTTGTTCCAACAGATAGCAGACCTGTTGTCATGACTGTAGGTAAAGCAGTAGTCACAACAGATGGATGACCTGTTGTTACAACTGTTTGTTGGCCTGTAGTAATAGCAGTTGGGTGAGCTGTTGTCACAACTGATGGCTGACCTGTTGTTATAGTTGTTTGGTGTGCTGTTGTTACAACTGACGGTTGACCTGTTGTTATAGCTGTTGGCTTGCCTGTGGTTACAACAGATGGTTGACCTGTTGTCATAGCTGTTGGTTGAGCTGTTTCCACAACTGATGGTACACCTGTCGTTACAAATGGTGGTTGAGCTGTTGTAACAACTGACGGTTGATTTGTTGTTACAGCTGGTGGTTGAGCTGTTGTCACAACTGATGGTTGACCTGTTGTTATAGCTGTTTGTTGAGCTGTTGTTACAACTGATGGTTGACCTGTTGTTATAGCTGTTGGTTGAGCTGTTGTTACAACTGATGGTTTTCCTGTGGTTACAACTGATGGCACACCTGTTGTTACAGCTGGTGGTTGAGCTGTTGTCACAACTGATGGTTGACCTGTTGTTATAGCTGTTTGTTGAGCTGTCGTTACAACTGATGGTTGACCTGTTGTTATAGCTGTTGGTTGAGCTGTTGTTACAACTGATGGTTTTCCTGTGGTTACAACTAATGGCACACCTGTTGTTATAGCTGGTGGTTGAGCTGTTGTCACAACTGATGGTTGACCTGTTGTTATAGCTGTTTGGTGTGCTGTTGTTACAACTGATGGCTGACCTGTTGTTATAGCTGTTGGCTTGCCTGTGGTTACAACAGATAATTGACCTGTTGTCATAGCTGTTGGTTGAGCTGTTGTTATAACTGATGGTTTTCCTGTGGTTACTACTGATGGCTGACCTGTTGTCATAGCTGTTGGTTGAGCTGTTTCCACAACTGATGGTACACCTGTTGTTACAACTGGTGGTTGAGCTGTTGTCACAACTGATGGTTGACCTGTTGTTATAGCTGTTTGTTGAGCTGTCGTTACAACTGATGGTTGACCTGTTGTTATAGCTGTTGGTTGAGCTGTTGTTACAACTGATGGTTTTCCTGTGGTTACAACTGATGGCACACCTGTTGTTACAGCTGGTAGTTGAGTTGTTGTCACAACTGATGGTGGACCTGTTGTTACAGCTGGTGGTTGACCAGTAGTCAAAGCTGTTTGTTGAGCTGTCGTTACAGCTGATGGTTGACCTGTTGTCATAGCTGTTGGTTGAGCTGTTTTCACAACTGATGGTTTTCCAGTGGTTACAACTGATGGTTGACCTGTTGTCATAGCTGTTGGTTGAGCTGTTTTCACAACTGATGGTACACCTGTTGTTACAGCTGGTGGTTGAGCGGTTGTAACAACCGATGGTTGACCTGTCGTCATAGCTGTTGGTTGTGCTGTTGTTACAACTGGTGGGTTTCCTGTGGTTACAACTGATGGTTGACCTGTTGTCATAGCTGTTGGTTGAGCTGTTTTAACAACTGATGGTACACCTGTTGTTACAGCTGGTGGTTGAGCTGTTGTAACAACTGATGGTTGACCTGTAGTCACAGCTGTTTGGGGTTCTGTCGTTACAACTGATGGTTGACCTGTTGTTATAACTGTTGGTTGAGATGTTGTTACAACTGATGGTTTCCCTGTGGTTACAACTGACAGTACACCTGTTGTTATGGCTGGTGGTTGAGCTGTTGTAACAACTGATGGTTGACCTGTTGTTAATGCTGTTGGTTGAGCTGTTTTCACAATTGATGGTTGACCTGTTGTCAGAGCTGTTGGTTGAGCTGTTTCCACAACTGATGGTACACTTGTTGTTACAGCTGGTGGTTGAGTTGTAACAACTGATGGCTGACCTGTAGTCATAGCTGTTTGGGGTGATGTTGTTACAACTGATGTTTGACCTGTTGTTACAGCTGGTGGTTGAGCTGTTGTCACAACTGATGGTTGACCTGTAGTCATAGCTGTTGGTTGAGCTGTTGTTACAACTGATGGTTTTCCTGTGGTTACAACTGATGGTACAACTGTTGTTACAACTGTTGGTTGAGCTGTTGTAACACCTGATGGTTGACCTGTTGTTACAACTGATGGTTTGCCTGTGGTTACAATTGATGGTTGACCTGTTGTTACAGTTGGTGGTCGAGCTGTTGTCACAACTGATGGTTGACCTGTTGTTACAGCTGGTGGTTGAGCTGTTGAAACAGCTGATGGTTTGGCTGTAGTCACAGCTGTCGTTTGAGCTGTAGTCACAATTGATGGTTGACCTGTTGTCATAGTTGTTGTTTGAACCTTTGCAGGGCATCCAATTAATTCAAATCTAAAGCTGGGCTCTTTTCCTTCAAAATCCTCTATTTTGAGGCGCAAGAACCTTGTTTGAATTGGTTCTGGTAACCCAATTTTTTTAATCTCAAAATCATTATCATTTGCAGGCAAATAATATGGAGTGTCGTTATCATCCAGGTATCTTCTATAAACTGCACCATCAGGACTCATCTGAGCAGTTAAAGTTTTGACATATGATCCTGAGGTTATCCCACCACCTTGTACAAGGATAGCTGTTATTATGTAGGTTGATAGAAGATCGACTGTGAATGATGGAGCTGTATCATTCTGTTTTGGTACCCATGCAGTGTTGCCATTTCCATCTACAGGGCTATTGAGTGCAACATTACTGACACTGTTCCCATCTTCTGTTGATGAGGCTGATAACTGGTGTGGCTGGATGGTTCCATCTTCAAGTCCAAGTTTTGCACTACAGTGATCTAGAAAGAGTAAAGGATTTTAATAAGTTTTAAAAGATATTCTCCTATGTTCATCATAGTAGCCATGGAGAGCAGCCTAGGTCAACTTATGGGCTGTCTCTTATACACATCTAGATGTGTATAAGAGACAGGCTGTTGGTTGAGCTGTTGTTACAACTGATGGTTTTCCTGTGGTTACAACTGATGGTACACCTGTTGTTACAGCTGGTGGTTGAGCTGTTGTAACAACTGATGGATGACCTGTTGTTATAGTTGTTGGTTCAGCTGTTGTTACAATTGAGGGTTTTCCTGTGGTTACAATTGATGGTTGACCTGTTGTTACAGCTGGTGGGCGAGCTGTTGTCACAACTGATGGTTGACCTGTTGTTACAGTTGGTGGTTGTGATGTTGTCACAACTGATGGTTGACCTGTAGTCATAGCTGTTTGGTGAGCTGTTGTTACAGCTGATGGCTGACTTGTTGTTATAGCTGTTGGTTGAGCTGTTGTTACAACTGATGGTTTCCCTGTCGTTACAACTGATGGTACACCTGTTGTTACAGCTGGTGGTTGAGCTGTTGTAACAACTGATGTTTGACCTGTTGTTATAGTTGTTGGTTCAGCTGTTACAACTGATGGTTTTCCTGTGGTTACAACTGATGGCATGCCTGTTGTTGCAATTGAAGGTTTACCTGTGGTTACAACTGATGGCTGACCTGTTGTTACTGCTGGTGGTTGACCTGTAGTCATACCTGTTTGGTGAGCTGTCGTTACAGCTGATGGTTGACCTGTTGTCATAGCTGTTGGTTGAGCTGTTTTCACAACTGATGGTACACCTGTTGTTACAGCTGGTGGTTGAGCTGTTGAAACAGCTGATGGTTTGGCTGTAGTCACAGCTGTCGTTTGAGCTGTAGTCACAATTGATGGTTGACCTGTTGTCATAGTTGTTGTTTGAACCTTTGCAGGGCATCCAATTAATTCAAATCTAAAGCTGGGCTCTTTTCCTTCAAAATCCTCTATTTTGAGGCGCAAGAACCTTGTTTGAATTGGTTCTGGTAACCCAATTTTTTTAATCTCAAAATCATTATCATTTGCAGGCAAATAATATGGAGTGTCGTTATCATCCAGGTATCTTCTATAAACTGCACCATCAGGACTCATCTGAGCAGTTAAAGTTTTGACATATGATCCTGAGGTTATCCCACCACCTTGTACAAGGATAGCTGTTATTATGTAGGTTGATAGAAGATCGACTGTGAATGATGGAGCTGTATCATTCTGTTTTGGTACCCATGCAGTGTTGCCATTTCCATCTACAGGGCTATTGAGTGCAACATTACTGACACTGTTCCCATCTTCTGTTGATGAGGCTGATAACTGGTGTGGCTGGATGGTTCCATCTTCAAGTCCAAGTTTTGCACTACAGTGATCTAGAAAGAGTAAAGGATTTTAATAAGTTTTAAAAGATATTCTCCTATGTTCATCATAGTAGCCATGGAGAGCAGCCTAGGTCAACTTATGGGAGTCACTAAAGTATGGGGATTTTATATCTGCGGTCTACATCTCTGCTTGTCTCTTGCTCAGTTGGAGCACTGGAATTCTAAGTATTGTACAGAATCTGATTGAACGTTTATGAAGTGCTTTTCTGTGTTTCGTCCTGCTGAAAATGAAAACAAATAATTCTTCTCTTTGCACGGCTGATAATAATAATAATACATACTGTATGTTTGGTGAATACACACAAATTGACGTAAATATGTGTAAAGCTGTTCAAAGTATTTTTTCAACATTGATGATAAAACTAAAAATATGTCATTTATAGATAGTATGAATTATAGGTATCTGAAAATTCTGCAGTTTTGGTTCCATCATTATTCTTTCCAATAAGTTTTCAGGAATATTATAAGTGGTTATTACGCTTACATAACACGAGATATGAGAGCTTAAACATCTCTTTTTAAAACACAGACCATTGCAGGAAATTGCAATTTTAAATCCTCGGCTGAATAGTAAGAAAAGTACATGCTATGACTACTACCAGTCAAGATCAGTAACACTACCAAGCTACACATACAGAACAACAGCACAACAATACTATATACTGCATAATTACCTTCAATCTCAGTGGTTGCCTCTAAAACCGTTGTTGGTGGCACAGTTGTTCCTAGATGAAATAAAACAATTAATCAATACAAAAAATAATGCAGATGAACATAAAAATAATATATGAGAATTTAACATGACTGTATCAACCTAATGAAAGTCTAATTTCATTAAATTACATTGACTATTACTAATTCACTATACTACAATGGACAATGTTTATATAAAAATAATAAACTCAGTAGTATACCAACTTAACTTTACATAACTGGTCCTGTATTTGAGGCAACAAATTTCACTTTCTAAAATTACATTTATCATGTTATTACTGACATCATCG